CTGATAATACACTTGATATAACTGCTCTGATACCACTTGTTAATATTTTCAGAACATAAAACCTTATGATATGGATCATCTATCATGTGTATCATCAAGAAATTAAGACAAACATGTGTACCCGAATCCATTGTTATAGTTGAACGGAAGCGTGATTCTCAATACATCCTTTGATCTTGCCTTTGTTATTGCCTTCCAATCCTTTCCTTATTAGTGCCTTAAGTTTCTCCTTGAGAGGATATAGAAGAAATTGGCAGTTCTTCCAATCAGGCAGGATTAGGGACCATAACAACTTAGGGTTAAATAGGTTTTCAAAAACAAAAACCGTGTGGCAGTTTCTTAAGAGAATGAAAACCAACTTAACCAATTTTGTTTTAATTTCTATTTCTGCCCCTCATAGAAATAGAAATTTCTCAACTAGTATCTACACATTAGGTCCTGACACATATACCCTCAAGCCTATTAACTAAATTGAATCACTTAAATTGTAGGCTTCTTATAAATGATAACACCACATTTAAAATATGTGGTCCCATTGAGACATTATCTAACATGTGGAAGTTTGAAATTGAATGAATATATGCTTTTCATATCATTTTTGTTATTGCTTTTGTTTTTTTGTTGTCAAAGATAGAGAAAATAGAAGCAAGCTGTGCATTACGCTTATACTAGATCTCTCCTGTTATATTTAAGGACTAGCAATAATTTTGCAATGGTTTGGTTTGTCACTCTCATTAAAATCATTGGGAAATTATTACATTTATTTTATTTTAGAGAATCCTAGTCCTCCATTCAATAAATCACTACAAGAAAATACAGATTTCGCGACTAAAATAAGTTTTTTCGTCGCTGAAAGTAGTACAAATGGCGACTAAAATGGATTTAGTCGCCAAAATTGGTGACTTTTGCCAACTAAAAGAGTTTAGTCGCCGAATACAAGGCTTTTAGCGACTAAAAGGCAATTTAGTCGCCCAATGTGGGGGTTTTAGCGACGAAAGGTTGTTTAGTAGCCAAAAGTGACAGCTTTTGGCGACTAAAATAATTTAGTAGCCAAAAGTGATGGTTTTGGCGACTAAAAAACAGATTAGTCGCCGATTGTTGGTGTTTTGCCGACTAAAAACAGTTTAGTCGCTGAAAGTGAAGCTTTTTGGCTACAAAAAAAAAATAGTAGCTAAAAACAGTCCATTGCCGACTAAAATTCAGTTTAGTAGCCAAAATGGGACATTTTTGGCGACTAAAAACAGGTTTAGTCGCCAAAACTACTTACTTTTAGGCGAAACTTAATTTTTTTGCGACTAAATTATAATTAGTAGCCGAAAATGATAGAATTGGCGACTAAAAATTTAATTTAGTCGCCAAAAGTGGCCTAAATTTTTTGTTAGTAAATAATTTATTTTTTACATAAAGTATATTGAATTAAAAAAATTATATTTATATATATTATTTTGTATTAATAGCGGTTAATATACTATATAAATAATATATATTGCATATATATTCATGTGATGTTATTGTGGCATAGTGGTGGGAGTGTGTTGCAAAAGGTTTGGAGTGTGGTGGTGGGATGTCTCAGGTTCGAAACCTGCGAGCAACAGGTTCAACATGTTTTTTTTTTTTTAAATATGCTTTTGGCGACTAAAAGAGGTGGTCGCCAAAAGCTTCAGTATTGGCGACGAAAAAAATAGTCGGGAAATGTATAAATTAAAAAAAAATAATTTACTATTGGCGACTACAAATTTAGTCGCCAAATGTATAATTTAAAAAAAATAAAGGAGCTTTGGCGACGAAATTTGTGCTCGCTACAGAGTTTGTTTTTGACGACTAAAAGTGGGTTAGTCGCCAATACCTTCCGCGACGTTTTTTCCAGCGACCAACATGGCGACTAAAAAATTTAGTCGGGAAAACCTAAAACCCGACTTATGGCGACTAAAAAATCACTTTTGGCGATTAAATTTTTAGTCGCCAAAAGTGATTTTTCTTGTAGTGAATTAAGTTTATTTTATTTTATTTTATGACTCTCGATTTAACTTGCGTGCAACTCAACTACTCTAAAAATTTTGAAATTAAGAACTAAGCAATTCTCCCATGGTCCTTAGGGTGACTTGAATTCAAGACCTTAGAACTTATCCTCAAGATTTTATGACTCAATCAACTCCTAGGAGTAGCAACAAATTAAGGTTTTGAAGACAAAAATTTGTCACTTTTTCAGAATAAAATATTTTTATTGTCAAAGTGTCGTTATTGTATTTATAGCGATGAAATCAGATATTTAATGATGAATTTATAATCTATTTGGCATCATTTATTATCTCTAAAAGTGCATTTATTAGCGATACTTTTCTAGATTATCTTTTAGCGATTATCTTTGCGACGATAGGAATTGATCCTCAAATATTTTTAAATTTTTATTTTGAAAATAAAAAAATTATCTTCTAAAATTCTTATTTATTGTAGTGCAGTGCCTATATATTCTTATCCATTAAATTTCCCAAACACATAAGAATAAGAATAAAATATTTTGAACTATAGTATAGAATGTCTGGTGCTATATATAATGTGTATATATATATATGTGATGTCCAAAAAAGATATACGGTAAAAATTGGACATTTTCAAATTTAACACATCTTCCTAATTCATCAATTTATCGAACAGTTTATACGTAAAAATTATAAAAACATCGTTTTTTCCCCACGGAGGAACAACATCATCACTCAATAAAATACCAAAAGTAGATTCATTTTAAATCATGGAGTAATGCTATTCAAGTTCAGAAATTAGACTAATTTTTTCAAACTAATTTTTTCAAACTCAATGATATGACAGTGTATTAAAGTTTATCCTTTTCCTAAATCACTTGATAACATGAATTCTTATTTTTCAATGATATTCCACCATCAAGATAGTTGACTGTGTTAAACAAACTGATGTATATTATTGATTGATATTTTGATTACAAGATTGTTGTATATGCTGTATTACAAATGAGGGGTTCCTTATATAGATGTAGGTGTAGGGAGTAGGTGGTGGTAGGTGAGTGTAGTAGGTGAGTGTAGTAGGTGAGTGTGTGGTAGGTGATGGTAAGTGTGTGGTAGGTGATGGTAAATTATACAATGTACATTAACAGCCCCCCTCAAACTCAAGGAGGATAGTTACTAGCCAACTTGAGTTTGGAGAGAGTAACAAAACAGAAAAATAAACTGATAAATAAAACAGGATAGGAGACACGGTATGGTCGTGTCTGACCGATGTAGCAGACAGTTTATGGGGTCATGTCGGACCGTTAACATGAATTCTTATTTTTCAATGATATTCCACCATCAAGATAGTTGACTGGAACTAACGGTTTCATAGAAGTTCATTACATATTTTTTAATTTAGGGAAGCGGCTTCCTGTGAACAAGCTTCTTGGTCAGAGACATGATCACAGAAGAAGCACTTCCAACAGAGAAAAATGGGCATTTAATGATCAATTGCTATATTTTTTGGGACCAAATTGTCTCAAAAATTAAATATTTTTTACAATAAATTATTTTGATATTAAAAATATATTTATTAGTGTTATTTTCAAAATTTTATCACTAATTTTTTTTTTTAGTTTTTAAAACGACCTTATATCCTCGCGATAATAGAAATTAGGTCTCATTTAGCCACATTACTTTTTAATCTAAAAACTAAAAAGTCACTTAAATATTCTCTTTTCTTTCTACTTTTTGAATTTTTTTTTGTAAAAAATTAAAAATTTATCTCAAACATACAAGTTTTTTTAACCTCACATTTTAATTAAAAAGTCAAAAAATAATTTAAAAAGTCCATTCCCAAACGAGGCTTTAATCGTCAAATATTTTTGACAATAAAATTTTTCCTTTTAAGAACTAAAGAGTTTCGGTCGTTCAAAACTCTTATATATTGTCCGCACAAAATAATTTGACACCTACTGTCCCAAAAAACAGAAGCTATTATATATATATATATATATACTATTGTATGCTACTATCTTGAGTGATCCTCTAGAGTGATCCTGTGAAGTGATCCTCTAGAGTGATCTTTCATGGAGCGACACGTGTCCCATTAATGGAACCAATGGCTGAGATGATGCCTAGACAAAACGACGTCGTTTTGGTACCAAAAAAAAAAATTCAGAATTTGTAGATTTGATGATCGAGAGAGAGGATGAGGAAGAAGAAAGTGGATTTGAGGAAGAAGAAAGTGGATGTTGTAAGTAGAACCCAAGATTGCTTCATATATACTTCCTTTCTGATTCTGTTTTGCTTTCGTAAGGCATTCGTGATGGATAAAGATGATGAAGATGCCATTGTAGCTGTTCGAACAAGGGCTCCTCGTTGAAACCCATTCCTAAATGGTATTCCTTTCTGTCCCTTTTTTCTCCAGAATTTTCCAAACCCCCTGCTTTCATTAAGCTGGGCCTCTGCTTTCCTATCCCAAACAGAAGCACCAGGTTGATGTATTTCTTCTTCTTCATCACTTGGGCTGGATTCATCTTCGATGTTATCAGAAGCCTCACCTTCTTCTATTGGGTTAGCCTCCTTAACAGAACTGGTCTTTGCCTTATTAGGCCCCAGACAATTCCCATCAAATTGGGCTTTACTCAATACTACTTCCAGAGCTATAGCAGGCCTATTGACATCTTCTGAACTTAAACTTCTTATAAGCCCATGAGGCCCATTAGGTGTCTCTAGTATCCCCCCTCCTCGTCTTTCACCCCTGTCAACCTCCCTTTCTAATGGTGCCTGTAGACTGACATTGAGTGCTGGGTGGACAGCATCATGGTTGCGAATTCCTATCTCCACGCCTGTCTCGTTAACCACCGAAACAGAGTCTGAAGGGCATGTGTGCTTGTGTCCTGCTCCCACCACCGCCTCCTTAGACTTGTTACTATGTGCCATGTAGAGGCTTCTCTCCACGTCAGCCCCAATGTTTCCTGCGTCGTCACCTTCACTCCTGCTTGCATGGTGAGTTGCAGAGCAATGGTCACCCCTATCCTGGTCGTGTTGACATGAATCAAATCGAGAAGACTGTCCAGTATCTGATTGGGTCCGGAATGGTAGGTTCTTTACCTTTCTTATTTATTCCTTTCCTTACACAAACTTGGCATCTCACAAATTCATTACTTTCACTTTGTTATGGCATGGCTGCCCATTGCATTTTCGAATGGTGTAGTAATATATAAATAAAAAATAGTAATGTTAAGTATAAATAATTGGAATACAGAAACTGTATTGTATTATTGAAACAATATCTCACAATACAATTTTTGTATTCTTTCTGTGGTTCAGTATTACATAAATGTAATTTTAGACAAATCACTGCAACACATAATGACATGTGAAATTTTAATCGATATAAAATTTTGAAATTCTGGCAATTTGAAGACATAGAATTTTATATATATAATTTTGATTCATGCTACTGTTTATACTTTTAATTTTTTATTTTTTTTGGTATGATGTTCTTCATATATTTTCATATACAGGATATTAAGACGGAAAACAACCCATGTCTAGGAATGGTTTACACATCATTTCAAGAAAGGGCGACATTTATTTCTCATGGTAACACAGCCAGGCTTGCCAAACATTATGGTGACATTAACTTAGCACAGATATGTGGTACAATAGCCTCTGATGAGAAGCGTCATGAAACTGCTTACACCAAGATAATGAAGAAGTTGTTCGAGGTTGATCCGGATGCTGCTGTCATAGCATTTGCTGACATGATGAAGAAGAAAATTACTATGCCAGCTCACTTCATGTATGATGGTCATCATGATGATCTGTTCATGCACTTCTCAACTACTGCTCAGTGGCTTGGTGTGTACACCGCCATGGATTATGCTAATATATTGGATTTTTTGGTGGACAAATGGAGTGTGGAGAAGCTAAGTGCACTCTCTCCTGAGGGACGAAAGGCTCAAGATTATGTTTGCGGGCTAGGTCCCAAAATTCGAAGGTTGGAGGAGAGAGCTCGACTGAAATCCAAGGAGATTTGCTATACCATTTAGTTGGATTTTCAATAAGTAAAATAAAGGACTTATTATGCAGTGGCTCTGCTCTAAGCCATTACTAGTCGCAACACAAACTACTAGTAATGTATGTATGCAGTGGGAGAATCAATGTATGAAAGAAGGGGCACAACATAAGTGATAATTTCTCAAACTCTATGGTTGTTGAAGTAATTGTACTATAACACTATTGCAATATGTTCTTTTTCAAAATGTGAGTGAACATGGGAAAATTATTCAATATTTCCGGAGTACCATGCGTCTATATTTCCTAATCAATCATCATTCATATGCCCCCTCATGTTTTTCAATTATCCAACACAATACCTCACCTATCCACATTCTCTACCAATCATAATACTATGGAATACCACGTGTCCATACTCCGAGATTACTGAATAATTACCCGTGAACATGGATTTAGAAAAGACAACTTGAATATGTTTATATAATAATTTTTTTTGTTAACTAGTACTCTAAGACCCCATTTGTTTTGGGTATAGAGGGTAGGATGAGATTAGGATGGAGGTGAGACCCATTTAATGTTGTGTTTGTTTGTAGATTTGAGGAAGGGATTGAAATGGAGGAGGGGAATAGGTTGGACTTTGGAAGGGGGATTATGATGGAGGAGGTAGAGGTGGTACTAGAAAAATAGTCTGCCGGACTAGAAATTTTTTATTTTTATTTAGTTATTTATTTATGTATTTACATATTGGGCATTTTTTTTTAAACATTAATGTTTAATTTTTTTTTTGTTAAGTAAAAATCATTGCTTTATTTGTTTTATTTTTTTATGGAAATTTTTTATTATTTTTTTATATGTTGGGCATTTGTTTTTGAACATTAATGTTTAATGTTTTTGTTTTTTTTTTATTTGTTTTATTATTTTATATATTTTTATATAAAAAATAATTTAACAATCTCTACACCAACAACTATCATCAAAACAAATACAATTTTACTTAATCCTCTCGTCATCAATCCTCTCACTATTAATCCCTTCCATTCTATCTTTGAAATCAAACGGGACCTAACAGTATTAGTTTAAAATACATTAAATGAATTCAACTACTTTCATTAATATAGAAATCGAAAGGGATTAAAGAAAGAATAGTGTGATTGAATTTTTTGACTTTTTTCACTATTTTAATCAAAAAGAAAAAATCTTCACCCTAAATGGGACCTAAGTTTTACACACACTCCGTTAACTTTGTGTTCTATGGTTGCTAATGTTGGAATTCATGGTTTTTATAGGCTTATTTTGGGCTAATTTTGAGCCCAAATTTGAGTGGATCCCAAACGTCTTTTGGGATGGATTCAAAGAGGTGACGTGTTCATTGACGCGTGGTGAGTCACACAGTGAAGACGGTACGTCAAAACCATTTATGAGCGTATGGGAAGTTGATGTCATTTTTGGGTTCATGAAATGGACAATTAAAGAAGTGAAATGTGGGTTTCATTGAAATGGTTATCCCACATTGGAAACTTAAGAGAACTTATGTAACAACCCCGACCTCTGATTAACGTTAATTCATGATTAAATGAGCCTAATCAATAATTAAGTGAAATTCTGAATTAATTGCTTGTGTGTGTGTCGCGTTATTGTGCTTATATCTGTTTATCGTAGAAAGATCTATTTGCATTTCTGTTTCTTCTTGTGAATTGAAGGCTTTATCGGCATCCACTCATGAAATTGACTTGATTCATGTACTATTTAGGATTTTTAGTACATTATGGTAGGCTTAATTAGAATTCGATTCGGAACGATTAAATTAGAATAATTAATGTCAACTAATTAACCAACTCCTAATTAAGCCTATATAAGACACCTATTGTACATCCACTCATTCTTTTTCTTCATCTTAACACATCTTTGAGCTTACACACACAAACCAAACGTGGGAGAGAGAGAGAAGAGAAGTTTAAGCTCAAATTAAGAAGATTGCTAGAGAACTAAGAGATTTTGGCTTGGAAACAATTGATCACCTAGGGTATCATTGACAAGCCGAGGTAAGGATTCAGCCTTTAGGTTGTACAATTATGATGTGTAAGACATGAACTCTAGAGAATTATGTTGGATAATACAAGAATTGAGTTAGAAATGAAGAGAATTGAATCATGTTATGCATGCATGCATACATCATGATATCTTGAGTAGATTTCTAAAGAATGTTCACATGCATATGTTTATCTTAACTTGGTTTTGAGAATTCATCACATTTCTTACCATTTGACCTTAATTGATCCTGTTTTGGAAAGCTTAAGTTCAAAGTAATTCATGCATGTCATGTTTATGGCATATTCATAAATTTTAAGTTGGAGTTTTGATCAATTAGCATGATTTGGGGCCTTGATTTAGTGAAATGATTTTCAAATCGTAGTATTTTACAAGTTTCTAAGCGTTTTATGGAATTTTGGCCCAAAACGATGAGTTTTGAAGTGTGTAATTTGAGTTTGGAGCTTGGGAGTACAATCTGGAAAATCCAGATTTTACACTTCCGCTCGAGCAGCAGAATTTGCACTCAAGCGACCACCCTGTGATCTTGCACTTCACGCTTGAACGACCAGAAGTTCACTCAAGCGAGAAATACAAGCTCCCAGAAGTTTTCACATTTTGCAGACCACTTGAGCGACAGAGGTGACGCTCGAGCGGGGACCTCAATCTCACACTCGAGTGACTGTCAAGCGGAGATTTCGCATAACTAGTACTTTTGCAGAGTTTATAGACCACTCGAGCGATCGAAGTTGCGCTCAAGCGACCACTTACATTTTTGAACCTCTGTTTGGGCGGGGGCCCTATTTTCAGCAAATTTGCCTAAGTGTTGAACATCATAATTTGGCATTTTCATTGCACCTTAAACATTCCTAGGTTATGATTAAGACATAATAATGAGGGTAAAACGTAGAAACATACTAAGAACAGAACGTAACGAGTTAAGTATATTCCGAGCGTCTGTTTCAGATGTGTATTTGTTATGTGTTGATGTAGGTCACGCGCCGCAAACCGTTTGATTAGTCTACTTTGTCTGTCTGCACCCGAAGCCACCTGTGAGTAATAACTTAGTAAAGCTATGTTCGACTTTATTTGATTTCTGTACAATAAAATAAGATCTGTTTTCTGAAATGCTATGTTCAGTACAATGAATGGTTGTCCAATTTCTGACAATGTATTCGTGGCATCCTTAGCATCATGTGATATTTGTTAGCTGTTACATAGTATCAGAGGTTTCATTATGGAACTTATTATATCTGTTATTTGTTACCCATACCGGAGGCTCCATCATGGAGCTCAGCATATCTGTTATCTGTTACCCGAATCCGAAGGTTCTTTTATGGAACTGGTTATTCATAACCACAATATGTTTTGTATCTGTTATGTTAGCTCTAATGGATGTACCACGTATGATTAAGCATGAACTCTGATTTTTGTATATGATTTGAACAAGAATATGAATATAAATATGTATATGAATCTGTTTATGAATCTGAATTCTGATTTCTGAATATGGTATGGACATCATTCACTAAAACCCTTTACTCTGTTATTATTCATTGGGTTTCCGCTCATTATTTATATTATGTATGTAGGTGAGCAGACGCGTGACTAGGCCTAAGTTGCTGCTTGGAGTGTTTTGTGTCAGCGAATCACTGTACCTGTCGGAGAGGTTCCTTTTGAGAAGTCAAGTTTTGTGAACCTTATGAAGATGTTTTGTTGGTTGTTTTGCTTACCTGTACATTGGGCTAAGTCCCTCATGACATTATATGTATGGTGATATAGATTTTATGGAAGTTTGACATTATATAAGTTTAAAACTTATTTGTCTCATGTACATCTTCATAGCTCTATGGACCTTGTATTTTGTATAATTACTTCTGTAGCCCCTTATATTTTTGTTATTCAATTAAGAGGCCTTGGGTAATCCCAGGATTACTGGCCGGTTACGTCGTTAAACCTAAAGGGACGGGTTTGGGTCGTGACAACTTATGTGTGTATATAAGTTCTAGATGGCAACGCTTTGGTTGGGCCCCAAGGGGCACCCCAAGTTTGCAGGGGGGAGGAGTTATGGAAAAATTGAACCTTGGCTCAAACCACCACACGCGTGCGTCGCCTTCCGGCCGGGCCAGGTGTGGGTGTGGGGTGTGGGTTGGGTCGGTTCTAATATTAGTTTATTGGACAAAATTTATTTGAATTTTTCTAAAAATTCTTGCGGAAAATTATTTAAATTTCTGAACAAAATTAATTTAATTTTTTCTGTCCAAAACTGTGCTTCTTCTGGTCCAATTTCCAACGGTTTAAACTGCTCTAAACTGCCTAGCAATTCCAGATAGAGTTAATTTCTTCCAGATATGTTTGAAATTGCCCAGGTAGTTATCTGTTCAAACAGATTTAAAATTGCCCAGCAGTTATCTGTCCAAAATTGTTTTGCACCTGCTGAATTCAAAAACCTACCTGTTCGGCCTTATAAATACTTGAACCATTCCAGCAGATTTCTATATCTGAAATTCACTTGCTTGCGTCTAGTTTTTTCTCTCTTGCATAGATTTATTCTCCATATTATTTTAGGAAAAATTTGGAAAGTATAGAACACAAGTTTTATTCGCTGTATAAATTGTTTGGAGTGCTACTACAATTTGTGAAGATCATTGTATCCTAGGAGATGAACGCCATTTATCTGTAAGCGCCGTAGCGTAGCATATCTGTCTTAAGGATAGAGTGCTATACACTCGACTTGATCTTTTAAATATTTATTCGGTTCAGTAAATAAATTCTATAAGTAATTTATTTTATTTGTTTGTTTTGGTTTCAACTTATTTATTTTACATATAAGATTGTTCCTATAATCTTAAGATAGATTCGAATTATTCTATTTAAATAGAATTTTTCGTTTGTTTCCTTTCTTCATTTCTTCTTCTTATAGAAATTATTTTCTGTGGTTTTACAAAATAATATTTTGGTTAGAAAATCAAACAATAATAATATACTATTTGAAAAATAGTAGTAATATGCTATTTATTTTCTTTGACAACTAGTAGTAGTATACTGGTAGTCATTAACAATTCAGAATATTTGTTTGTGAAGTTGGTCAGAAATTAATTTTGATTTTTAGAAATAATTTTTGAGTTCTCATTAATTAAAATTTTGTTTTCAGTATTTTAATTTTTGAAGTGTTACAAAAATATTTTTCTGTGTGAAATTAATTTATTTAAATAAAATTTTATTTTATTTTCAAATTAATTGGAAA